GCAGGGAGTCTGCTTCATCCTCTGACCCTATCCCCTCTCAGGTGTTCTCTCTCTCTCATTCTCTCTCTCTCAAATAAATAAATAAAATCTTAAAAAAAAAAAAGAAAAAGAAAAAGCCATGGAGTGTGCACAGATGGGCAGATGGGTACTATATATACACGGGTAAACACTTTATTCTGGCTTTCTGCTCTCATTTTATCTCTTCATGCCTTTATTTTATCCTCAGCCCAATGTCCTCGTTCAGTTTTTTAATTTAAATATGTCAGAAACTGTTTTTAAATAACGTTTTTGAACCTTGAACCTAAATAAATAATACAAAGTGGGTTCAAAACCCGCCTTCCCAGAGGCACAGAGCGTGGGGTCCCAGCAGCCTCCTCTTTGGACTTGCTCCCCATCCTTCCCCATGCTGTGCCTTCTTCATTTTATTATACACTTTTACACAGGGGTTCTATTGGTGCAGAGAATAAGGATTTCAAAAAACAGGAAGTACCTATTCATGGTTTGCCCGATTCAGCTGATACTTGAATCCCTTGGCTTCACGAGATGGGTACAACACAAATTTCCTTTTTTTTTTTTTTTTTGCAGAGTCCAGTAAAAGGTGAAAACAGTGAAATGATTATAGACACAAAGGCAGTGATTCCGGCTGATGAAGATGCTTCATTTCCTCCCCTTAAATCTGAAGACAGCGGGATCGGGCTCAGCGCCTCGTCGCCAGAGCTCTCGGAGCGCTGGAGGGTCCCCAGGGTTTCTCCCGAAAAAGATGATGTTTGGAAGAAGGGTGGGAGTATGCAGAGGACGTTTCTTTGCATCCAGGAGCTGATTGCCAACTTTGCCCACAAGAACATTTTTGGAGTGCAGCTGACGGGGTCCGGAGAAGAGAGCAAGTGTGAAGAGCCCGCAGGCCGGAGGGACAAGTGCGGGCCGCCGAGCTCGGCGGGCAGTGACTCCGACAGGAAGAACCCGTGGGACGCAAAGCCCATCAGCGTGCCCCAGTTTAAGCAGATGCTCTCAGACTTGTTCACAGCTCGAGGGTCTCCATTTAAGACAAAAAGTGCAGAGTTGCCATCGCCTCTGCCCAGGAGCCCTGGCCGAAAAACGGAGGGGGACTGGGCTGTGGAGCAGGTGGTCATTGAGCTGGGCAGCTCGCGAGAGGGCTGCCGGGAAGCCTTCGCTGCCGCCTGCCGCCTGCTGCTGGACTGCGCCACCTTCCCCGTCTACCTGTCCGAGCAGGAGACGGAGCGGCTCTGCGAAACGCTCTTCCAGCTTCCCGGTGAGAGGGCTGCACCCCCCACCCCCCCGGGGTCCGCCCTGAGGAGTCCTGTCATGTAGCTGGTGTTTATAGATGAGCCAAAACCCCCTCTGCCACATGCGCTTTTGTCGTTCGTGGTGTGTGCTTTTGACTTGCTTCTTGAAGATGGCAGATTGGTGAGGCTGGGACCGTATTTTTAAACTTGAGGTGTCCCGCACAGCCCATTAAGAGGTCTGGAACATAAAAGGTGCTTCATGATAATCAGGAAATAGACGAGTTCATCAGACCGGTTGTTAAGGATTTGTGTTCGTTTGCTAAGATTGCCATAATGAAGTACCACAAACTAAGTGACTTAAACAACAAAAATGTACTGCCTCACAGTTCTGGAGGCAGAAGTCTGAGATCAGCATATTGGCAGGGCTGTTCTCCCTTTGAAGGTTCAGAAGGATGTGCTCTAGCCTCGCCCCTAGCTTCTGGTAGTTCCTTGGCTCATGGCATCATAACCCCAGTCTTTGCATGGATTCCCCCTGTGTATGTGTATACATCCTGTGCTCAGTTTTCCTTTTTATAAGGACACCAGTTATATTGGATTAGGGGCCCACTCTAATATGACCTTGTCTGAACTCATTACATCGGCATCAACCCTATTTCCAGATAAGGTCACATTCTCAGGTCCTAAAGGGACTTATGACTGCAACATAAGAATTTTGGGGAGTTGGGGGGGACACAGTTCAACCCATAACAGGCAGTGTCTTAGACGCTCAGGCTGCCATAACAGAATACCATAGATTGAGTGGCTTAAGCAACAGAAATTTCTTTCTCAGAGTTCTGAAGCCTGGAAGTTTGAGATCAGAGTGCCAGCATCATCAGTTTCTGATGAGAGCTCTCCCCTTGGTTATAGACGGCCACCTTGTCAGAGGGTGCTCACATCCTGGGAGTATGAGGGGTCTTGCTGGTGTCTGTTCTTATAGGGGCGCTAATCCCATCATGAGGGCCCCACCTCTGAATACCATCACATTAGGCGTTGAGGCTTCAACATATGGATTTGGGGCAGACACAATTCAGTCCTTAGCAGGCAGTGAACACTTTAAAGAAAAAAGAGAGGAAGGTGGAAAACAAGAAAGAAGTGATTAAGTTGGTGGGAACACAGGACCAAGCTGTCCCCTTTTGTAGTCATTACAGTAAACTTCCTGTGTAGTTTGTCTCTTGGCTCATCAGCTGCAGATAACACTGTACTTGGAGGCTCGGCACTTAGAATTCAAGTCCACAGTTTATTTTGGGCCTCTTTTTTTTTTTTTTTAAGATTTTATTTATTCATTTGAGACAGAGACAGAGCATGAGCGGTGGAGGGGCAGAGGGAGAGGGAGAGGCAGGCTCCCTGCTGAGTGGGGAGTCCAATGTGGGGTTGGATCCCAGGACCCTGGGATCATGACCTGACCCGAAGGCAGACGCTCAACCATCTGAGCCACCCAGGCGCCCCTATTTTGGGCCGTTTTTAAAGCTAATGGCATGTGTCTCACCATCAAGAGAGCTTGGAAAAACATTTTGAACTCTATACCCACAAATGTGGATTTACTATATGTGAATTTTAAAAATAAGGGGCACCTGGGTGACTTAGTTGTTAAGCGTCTGCCTTCGGCTCAGGTCATGATCCCAGGGTCCTGGGATTGAGCCCTGCATCGGGCTCCCTGCTCGGCGGTAAACCCGTTTCTCCCTTTCCCACTCTCCCTGCTTGTATTCCCTCTCTCGCTGTGTCCCTCTCTGTCAAAAAATAAATAAAATCTTAAAAAAAAAAAATAAAAATATATTTTCTTAAATAAAAGACAGACACTGAATCATCTCAAAGTCCTGAGATTGACATTTTTAGAATTCGAATAACCTGACCAGCTTTTAAAAGTCACTGACTTGTGGCTCTCAGGGTGTCTTAGAATCTGCACATTGCGAGCCATCTTCACGTGGTTTTGTCTGTCTGACTGGCTTCCTTGCAGGAGCTGGCGATTGCAGTTTCCCGTCGTGGCTGAGATCCCTCATGACCATTAGCTGCTGTGTGACCGACTGCTTCCTCCAGAACGTGGCCATCTCCACCCTGCTGGAGGTGATCAACCATTCCCAGTCCCTAGCCCTTGTCATCGAAGACAAGATGAAACGCTATAAAAGCTCTGGACACAACCCATTTTTCGGCAAGCTGCAGATGGTGACAGTTCCTCCCATTGGTCCAGGAATATTGAAAGTCATTGCGGAGAAGACAGACTTCTATCAGGTATTTCCCACTGGGAGGAGGTGGGCGAGACCCACTTCCCAACCATCTGTTTAAAGTTGTCCGCGAGGTGATAGTCACTGTGGTCGGGATATGGCGGCTCTCGTGACAGCCCCAGAGGGTCGTTTGAGACCTTTGCCTGCCTTGCCTGGCCCCCTGTCCCAGGCTGTGGCACAGTTTCTGGCTCTGCAGCAAGAGTTCGGTAAATATTTGTGCTCGGTTTTAGGCTGACCGGACTTCACATGTAAGGATTGTTAAGTTATCTAAATATGCGGAAGAAGAAGAGACTGTGCCCTAATTTATGAGGTTAAAGGCTGTGAAGCTAGTTAACCTCAAGGAAAACTTAGTACTTGGCAAACTTAGGAAAGATTATTGCTGAAGATGGTGAGCAGGTGTTGCGTCCCTCTTTGAGGAGACAAAGTAAAATCACTTAAAGCTACATATGATAGGGCTCATTTAATTGCAAAGAGCTAAAAGCAGTTCCGGCGAGCTCATGAGAAAAAGTGAAGTTTATTATAGAGATAGTGCCCATGGATGCCAAAGGGCAAGAGCGGAATGCAGCTGGGTCTCACGGGGTGTCACCTGGGCGGGCTGTTAGATCCTGAGGCTGCTCGCTCTGCACCTCGCTCGGCCAAGGGGGTGCCCAGGGGTCACCTCACTAACTTGGTTGCCACTTGACCTTCAGTCTGCCTCATGACCCTCAAGTTTGGTTCCTATAGTTAATGATGCTTGGATGTCTTTCCTTCAAGTCTGAACTAATGGGTCGGGGCTGAGGCACCCTTGGGTCAGCACCTTCTGCTTCTCCGGCCCACGCAGCATTGACGGCGGGTAGGAGGTCCTGTGGTGCAGATAGGGATGTGGCCACTCCCCGGGACCTGCGATGATGGGGCCGCAGACCACCCTGAAAAGTTTTGACACTTAGGAAGAGAGATTTTATATATTTTATGGGTGAATGAGATACGGAAACTCTACTGTCCCTTCAGGTCCTAACAGCCCGTGCACTTTTGAAAGCCTTTGAAATAGGCTGCCTTTTCCCTGTTGGGATGAGCTCTTCTCAAGCAGGTCACATAACTGAGGCCACCTCTCAGCTTTGTTTCTTTTTGTTGTTGTTAATAACAGCTATGTTTAGCTATAATCCACGTACCATACAAATCACCCACTTGAAGTGTCCAATTCAGTGGTTTTTACTGTATTCACAGAAGTGTGCCATTTTACTTACTGTTTTCCCTGTTTTTTGTTATCCTTCCTTTACTGTTTTCTTTTTCAGCAAACGGATATTTTCCAGTGTAATGTTTTAATCACTTTAATGATTTTTCTCAATGTGTTTTTGGAGCTGTGTGTTTCTGCATGTTCCAGTAATAGCATAGTGATGCCTATATGCCTGGTGTTTTACTCAGGTTTTTTTTTTAAGATTTTATTTATTTATTTGAGAGAGAGAGCGAGTGAGAGACCACTAGCAGGGGGATCTGAGGCAGGCAGAGGGTGAGGGAGGAGCAGGCTCCCCACTGAGCAGGGAGCCTGACACGGGGCTCAATCCCAGGACCCCAAGATCATGACCTGAGCCGAAGGCAGACACTTAACCGACTGAGCCACCCAGGTGCCCTCCTCAACCTTTTCAAAAAACTCAGTTGAAAGAAAGGAGACATGCATTTACTCTGTCTTTTTAGAGCTACCCGGTTACCTTTACTGGTGCTTTTTGTATGGATTTGATTATCTGGGGTCAGTTGTTTTCACCTCGAAGAACTTTGTTTAGTGTTTCTGTTTTGTTTTGATTTTTTTTAATTTAAATTCAGTTAATTAACATATAGTGTATTATGAGTTTCAGAGGTAGAATTTAGTGATTCATCAGTTGCATACAATACCCAGTGCTCATTCCATGAAGTGCCCTCCTTAATGCCCATTCCCCATTTACCCCATTCCCCCACCAGAACTTCCTTCAGTGTTTCATATTATAAAACAGGTCTACTAGCAACAAATTCACTCAGTGTTTGTTATCTGGAAATGTCTTTATTTCTCCTTTTATGGAAGATAGTTTTACTAGATATAATGTTCTTGGTTAGGTTTTTTCTTTTCTTTCAAAACTTGGAATATAAGAATAAATTATACTTTAATCAGCCACTGATAACCTTGAATATGCAATATTTAAGTAAAGCAGCACCTCTTTTGAGAGAGAGAGCACGTGTGAACGGTGCATGGGAGAGGGGGTGTGGGAAGCAGAGGGAGAGAGAATCCTAAGCAGGCTCCACACCCAGCATGGAGCCCATCACAGGGCTTGATCTCACAACCCTGAGATCATGACCTGAGCCAAAATCAAGAGTCAGATGCTTAACCAACTAAGCCACCCAGGCGCCCCAACAGCACTTTTTCAATAATCCGTAACAGATGCTCATGTGAATGTTTGAACTTACATTGGAATTCACCATTTGGAGACATGATCCCGCTGTCTTCTTGCCTCCGGCATTTCTTGTGAAAAGGCAGCTCTTCTTCTTGGGTTTCCCTTGTTAATGAGGAGTGGTTTTTCTCTTGTTGCTTTCAAGATTTTCTCTCTATCTTTGTTAGCATCTCATTGTGGTGTGTCCAGTGTGGATCCTGTGGAGTGTATCCCATTTGGAATTCTTCAAGCTTCTTGAATATATAGATTAATGTTCTTTTATCAGTTTGGGGAAGTTTTTGTCCACTACTTCTGCACATATTTCCCCTGCTCCTTTCTCTTTCTCCTCCCCCAGCACTCCCTCTGTGGGTGTGCTGCTGCCCTTTGACAGTGGCCCACATCTCTCTAAGGCCCTGTGCATTTTTCATCATTCTTTTTTCTCTGTCTTCAGATTGCATCATTTCTCTCAATCCATTTTCTTCACCAAGTCTTCCTTCCGTCCGTTCAGATGAGCCACTTAGCCACCTGAGGAGGGAAAGTTTCATTTCAGTTATTATACTTTCAGTTCCAGGATTTCCATTTGTTTTTGTTGTTGTTGTTTTTGCCTTTTTTTCTTTTCTTTTTTTTTTTTTTAATACCACTTTCCTTCTCCATTCCTGGCCCTTCACTTGTGGATTCAGTCTGTACATGGGCCCTAGCCTTCCCCTGCCTCCCTCTTCTATGCTGCTACATGCAAGTGTGTTTCTGAATGTTCCAGTGATACCTGTGTGCCTCGTGTTTTACTCAACCTTTTTTTTTTTTTTTAAGATTTCATTTATTTATTAGAGCAAGCGATAGAGAACACAAGTAGGGGGAGCAGCAGAGGCAGAGGGAGAAGGAGGCTCCCCACTGAGCAGGGAGCCAGATGTAGGACTCGATCCCAGGACCCCAAGATCAGGACCTGAGCTGAAGGCAGACGCTTAACGACTGAGCCATTGTTGATATCGTGTGCTTGATGGGAAATTGTCATCATGCCTTCCTTTACTTATTTAAACATGGTTTCCTTTAGTTATTTGAACAGACTTACAATGGCTACTTTGAGGTCTTTGTTGAATAAATCTGACACCCAGTTGCTCTCACAGATACCTTCATTGCCCACTTTTTTCCCTTGTGTGAGTGTCATATTTTCTTGTTTCTTTGCACGTTTTATTATTTTACAGTTTTTATTGAAGACTGGGTATTTTAGATAGTGTATCGTAGCAATTTTACTGTGTTCTGGCCCCTCCCCCCCGCCAATCTTGATTTGTCCTCATGTGTTGTTCACTATTTGGTGACTTGCCTAGACTGTTTTGGTGGAGTCTGTCTCCCCTGCCGTGTGAGTCCTTTGGCGCTGCTCCCTGGAGGGATGTATGGTCGCCCTGCAGTGGCGGTGATCTTAGCAGGGTTCTCACTGACCGTCTCTTTCCCGGCTCTCTCCGTAAGCTGTCTCTGTCGGTATCACACCCAGCCGTTAGGCTCCACGAACGGCTGGCTGGCTCGCTACTCTCGCGTTTTCAACAATGTCCAAAGGCATACGTTACTGCACGGTCTGGTAGTTTTTTGAGGCCAGTCTATGGGTTGTTTTGTTTACCTACAAGGGTTCTTCCTAGCTATCTCTTGTCCTGGTTGTTCCTGATAAACGAGCTGGCCTGTGGTTTAACTTGTTGCTGTTGCGGAGCCACCAGGCTTGTGGTACTTACTTACTACAGAATTCCGTTGTTCTTGAGAGCACTCCTCGGCTCGAACTTCCTCACGCTCTCCTTGAGGGAGCCTTCTGTGTCATGGCCTGCCCCTCGCTCTGGGCAGTCTCTGCATCCCATTGCTCAGAAAGAGCTGGGACTGAGACAGTTACCTGTTTCTCTTGGAGGACTAGCCCTGCGGGTTGCCCTCAGGGGCCCTGGCCTCTGGTCATCTGAGCTTCTCGGCAACATACCCCACAAGCACATAGGGTAAGAACAGTGGGAACCCCAGTGGGAACCCCAGCACCCCTGGCCTGCAGTGTCTGGATACAGCCTCCACCCAGGAGTGAGGATGAGGCATGAAATGCTGTGGTCTGCTCGTTCATGGAGATGCAGAGCCTTGGACTGGGACCTGGGGGGAGGGGACTCCTCCTGGAGTGGATAGTCACGTTCCTCGTCACACCAAGCTGGGCTGAGCGGGATGGATAGAGTCGCAGTTCACTGCCACAGACTTGTTGCTTTTACTGGAATTTAGTAGATTTTCTTGAATAAATGTTTCTTTATTGCCTGAATGCCCTTAGGATAATTTCCAGAGACTCTAAATGTTTGATTGTTTTATTTTTTTATAATTTTCATGAGTTATGGTATTTTTTTGAGAGTTTACAGAGCTCCTCACACAGCCAGACTAACTTGTGTACTCAGACCCCATCTACGGTGCCAGGTCCTGGCGGAGCCTTACTTGATTGCTGTTTGGCCTGAGCCCCTCATCCCCCGCTCCCTTGCTTTCTTACCAGAGTTGAGTCTGTGTGGATCTCAGGACCAGGAACAGTGTTAATACAGCAGCAGTGACTGGGCACATCCTTACTTGCTCCTGCATATATCTGAGAAGTGTGGGGTCACTGTGTTATAAGGCGCAGGGACTAGAACAGAAGAAAGAATTTGGTCTGTGAATCTTTGGAAAGCTATCCATAGAATAAAAATGACTGCATTAAATACTCTTGTTTTGATGATGTACCCTTAATGATGTTTTTGGAAAGTAGGCTTTTCTGAGTTCTTTCTGAAGCCTTGATTTTTATTTTGAGTCCGATTTGGTGCATATCTGAGTCCTTACCACTTGCCGGGCACTGGAGTGCACTTTAGAGAGCATCCAGCCTTGTCCAGAGCAGCCACAGTGGCTGGTGCCTGCCCATGTCAACACGCTGGATGGCAGGCAGCGAAAACACCTGCACCAACAGCCAGGCCACGCCCCAGTTCTCGGACTCCAGGTGTAGGGCTGGTTCCAGATCTCCTAGCCCTTTTCTCATTCCCACAGAACAACCCACATGCCAGCGTTTGCGATGCCCACGATGCAAAGAATAAGGTCCGCTATCCCACGAGTGCCCTGACCTTTCTAATCAGGTGGTAATGGCAGAATTCAGTTCACTGAGAAAGGGTTCAGGACATGGGGACTGAGAAGCTTAACACAGATGAAGGAGCAGGCGTGTGTTTTGTGACCAACACCAACTCCTTAACGCTTCAAAAAACATTGTTTTAAAACTTCCAGAGTCTCTTCCACATAAATTTGCCCCCAGGGGCTACAAGTAAGGGGACTACTCTACTTAATCAAAAGTTTTGTATCAGAGGTTTCATTGCAATTCGATAATTGGAAATCACATTCCCTTAGATTAAAAAAGTAATGAAAATAATGGTTAGAGGCTCGAGCCAGTCAATGGTTAATTTGATCTAGGCAGAGAAGATAGTTTTGTCAAATAGAAATAAATGGGCCAAAAGAAGTCATTTGACCTGAGATGTACTTAAAAATATCACAGTCTGTGAGGCGTGGTCTTTTCCCATGACCTGGAAGAATGCCTTCAGAAATTCTGTCCCGGAAATGGGGCCAGCCTTCCCCTTGAGTCTCACCCAGTTGGGTCAGGCACCCCTCTGGTGCTCCCTGGGACTTCGGGGGTGGGGGGGCTGCAGCCAGCTCCAGGCCCCGTATATTTAAAGAGCTAAGATCAGGGCTGAGGAGATGGAGGACTTGATTTGGGATGGGATTTGTGTCCTGAAAGTGAGCTGGGCATCTGCTGTGGCACTGTGCACAGAAATGGGAACAGACAGGTTTGTGGCATTAAAGCTGAAAGCCACGATTCTTCGTCAGTACCACGTGGTGACCGATGTCTGCCAACCCTAGGTCGAGATTGGCGACCAGTGCAAATGCTCCACAGTTCCTGGAGCCCATGGCTCTGCAGCCCCCGGTGCCAGCACACAGTGAGGCTTGGTCAAGTGTGCTTGTCGAAAGGATTTGTCAACCAGTAGGTTCTTGCTTCCAGTTGATTTCCTCTCTGAAAGTAATGTTAATGTCTGGGCAAGAGCTGCAGTGTGCTTAGCTGCAAGTTCAGACTTCAGGTTTCAGGGAGCACCTGGCTGGCTCATTGGATAGAGCACACGATGCCTGATCCCAGGGTCATGAGTTCAAGCCGCACATGGCCATAGAGCTTACTTAAAAAACAAAAAGAATAGTCTTGGGGTGCCTGGCTGACTCAGTAGAGCATGTGACTCCTGATCCCAGGATCATGAGTTTGAGCCCTACGTTGGGTATAGAGACACCTCCAAGTTTAACCTATAACATCGCCTGGTGGGGTTTTGGTTTGGTTTGGGGTTTGGTTTGCTTCATTTTGTTTGTTGGTGGTACTTCTTTGTATATTGAGGATCCAGTTCCTTGGGGCTGGGATTGGACTGGCACAAGGAAGAAGTGTGGGTGCTGCCTGTGTTCACACAGTCTCCCTTCTGCCCCAGAGGGTGGCTCGTGTGCTTTGGAATCAGCTGAACAAGGAGACCCGGGAGCATCACATCACCTGTGTAGAGTTGTTCTACCGGCTGCACTGCCTGGCGCCAACGGCCAACATCTGTGAAGATATCATCTGCCATGCCCTCCTGGACCCTGACAAGGTAAGTCTTTGCAGCCTGTCATCTCTGTCCTGCAAAGATCCCAACTGCCAGGCCACCCATCCCTGTATGTGCCCGGTGTAGACTTACATGTACTCCACCCTTCTGGGGCTCAGTGGACATCCTGATCAATAAGCAGAGGTGTTACAGAATCTCAGGATTGGGAGGCCTTCAGAAGCACTGGCCATCCCCTTTAGAGTCCTAAAAACATGGGTTGTGTCCATATTAAGACTCACCAGGGAAATCTCCCCCGACTTCCATGATGTTTGCAGGACACTGAGTGCTTGCAGGGATCCTAGAGCCGCTGGTGAAGTAGGCAGTCGTAGAGAATGCGTCACCCTGGCCATCCTTTGCAGTCAAGTTGTGTCCTTGCTCTCTGAACCACTTGGGCCTGGCACGTCCAAGGTGTGTGATCTTGTGATCTTCGACCACAGGCCCAGGTGTGACCCGGGACATGGGCTAATGTGGAGTCTTGAAAATATGCTTTACTGTGTTTAAGTGAACAAGGAAAAGAGGATGCAGATCTTCCTTTCCGCCGGCCAAGTGGAACCCCAGGCACACCAAGAGCCCAGCACTGCTGCTGATGTTGCTGTCATTCTGCTGAGCTCTTGTTTGTCACTAGAGTCGGGTTTGCTGTGACTGCAAACAGTGTGCTGTGAGGGAAGTAGGTGCCTCACTCCCGTTTATTTCCTAATCAAGGGGACAAGACTGGAAGCTCTGTTCAGGTTTTCCGTCATCTGGCACCTGACAAGAGAGACGCAGGGCAGTCGTGTGACATCTCACAACCGCTCCTTTGATAGGTAAGATGGTCCTCATGGGTACATTACCCTTAATGCAAAGGACGCTTTGCTGAGGTTCCTGGGCAATGTGTTGGGCCCAGGAGGGGGAGACGTGTAAAATTGATAGCATGACCCCATTTTCTGGATGCACAGCAAACGATTCCCATGATCCCCTGAGTGACTTTAGGCCAGACTCATGTGAATACGTAGTAGGAATTTTCTTAATTTCGTCCTGGTGGGAGGAAGCCCAATACATCAGAATCACCTGAGCAGCTTTGAGATCATACCTCGTGAGGGAACCTTTGTAGGGAAATGGAGGTGGTCTGGGTCTCTATCAGGGCAGTGGCTACCCTGAGTGTGGACACTTGAGTGTCATCGACCGTGTGAATGTGAGTTTTATTGCAGTATAATCTGTTGCACTTTAAAAAAAAAAAAATTCCCTTCCTTGTTTCCATGTGTCTGGGGTCAGACACACAGCCTTAGAGAAATGCCAGCTGATTCTGATGCTGGGGGTCCACTCCCACAGTCAGTTTAATCAATTTGGGGTGAAGCCTGGGCATCAGGATTTTAAAAGCTCCCCCAGTGATTCTAGGGTGGAAACCCCTTGTCTTTGTCTGCTTGGGTCTCCTAAGCCCAGCATGGGTGAAGCTCCCCACGGGCATCCTGGTGCACGGGATCACCGGACGCTGGCTCGATGGTACCCTTCCCACCCACAGATCCCTGTTTGTCGTGCTGGACAGCCTGGCCTGCACGGACGGCGCCATCAGCGCGGCAGCCCAGGGCTGGCTGGTGCGGGCGCTCTCCCTTGGTGATGTGGCGCGCATCCTGGAACCCATGCTCCTTCTCCTGCTCCAGCCCAAAACCCAGAGGACCTCCATTCACTGCCTCAAGCAGGAGAACTCAGCGGGTGAGCACACCTCCCAGGGCGGCCCGGGGAGCTCTGTGTCCCCAGGGCCTCTGGGCCTGGGAGGGAGCAAGGGGCCGCCTGGACCCCAGCTGCCTATCAGGACAGTCAAGGTACTTAGCCCCGCTCAGTGGTTTGGCTAGATTCCAGCGGTATGAGGGTACTTTGTAAAGTTGTGAGGACTCTTCAGATGTAAGCAGACGAACCAGCACTTAGAAATGCTAGGGAGTGGGTTTGTTGTTTTAGCTGAAAAATCAGATTTTTTTTTTTAATAAAAAAGGAAATTGTTAGTAACCCATGTTCCAATAAAAATAGCTGATTTTTTATTCTTTTGCTACTGAAAACAATTCAAATGCACCTAAGGTATGAGGAAAGAATAACAGACCCTCCATCCCAGTGTCTCCCAGGCCAGTGCCTTCACTTAGAAGAGTCGCAGTTCCATGTCTGGCTAGGCCGGCGCTTCTCTCCAGATCCCTGCTTAGACCGAGGGGTAGTTTAGGTTGCCTTCAGCTATGAGTGGCCGAGAAGTTGAAATTTCCATGTAATCTGGTCAATTGTACTTATCTAGAAAATAACTTTTCTTTATGAACTTTCAACAGCAAGGTAAGTGGTTTCTTTCCTGTCTGTCCATTTTTCTATCACGACCTGAGTGGAAACCAAGAGCCAGAGGCTTAACCGACTGAGCCACCCAGGTGCTCCCCGAGGCATCTTTAGCACAGATTAGTAGAATATAGGTAGGAAGAAGAAAAACGAGGCTGAAATAAACCTGATGAGCGCATTACATATGGGTGATTAGTACCTAGCACAGTTTGTGAACTACATGACTTCCCACGGTAGGTGTGTTTTATGACTTCCTGCCGTTTTCTCAGTGATGATTTTACAAGCTTTGAGTTAGCTTGTTTAGCCCACTGGGCTGTAAATATTCTGTTTGTACCAGTCTTATCTTACAGGGAGAAGCAGCCAAACACCCCCATAAGCAGCCATTTCTGAGACGCTTCTTCTCTTTACAAGGTTCCCTGACTAAAACTGGAACCTCTGGTTTTCCTTTAGGAAGGAAAGCTGGCTGCCTTCGCAAAGAGAAGGCATTCTATTATTCCATGTTATAAGAAAGTAAAATCCAAAGAAGTATAAACTAAAGCACCTCCTTCAAAGTTTGGCTGTCATTTAGGGCAGCTAAATTTTTTAGTGTTCCCTTGTGTGAAGAAGAAAGTCCTAATGCCACACATCCCGGTTTTAAAAGTCAGGGCACTTCCTGCTGCTTCCTCTAACCCATGTTTCCTGCTACCTTCCTAATAAGAGAAAATGTCTTTTCCCTGCCACGTCCTTCCCCTGGAAGCAACTGGAAGAGTTCTGCTATACCCCCCACCCTATCTCTATAATATTGTAGATACCTATTTTGGAAGATATCACCGTGAGCCTTAGGCAGCTCATCGATTTCTAATGTCTTATTCTTCCTCCTTTCCTAATCTTGCTTGATGCTCACGAAATAGATTTGCTGAGAGCTGCATATGTAAATAGGTTTGGCCATACGGACCAAACACTGCTTTCTGGCTGTTCCTTTTTAAAGAGACCCGAGTATTTTAAAGTGTTGCGTATTTTCTGATTACAGAAGTACTAACATGCTTATTTTAACAATTGGAGTAATAAGGAGGTCAAAACACGCACGAAAGTCCCCTGCAGTGCTCGCTAATAGAGCTAGGTACTGTTGATGGTTGGTGGATAGTCTTACAGATTTTTTCAGAGCCGCGTATTATAGATGCTCTCCCCTAAATGAGCTCATTCGATACAGCTTGATTCTGCAGCTTGATTTTTCTTCTTTTAATACATCCCGCACATTGCTCCATATCAGTACATACAGGTGTATCTTTTAAAAACCCAAACAGTCCTCCATGGCATGCATGTACAGCAAGTTTTCTCAGTCTCTTAATGTTTTGTTCATTTTCCAGCTTGTCTGCACACGTGACAGTTCAGCAATACCTTACAGCTTTGAAGACCTGCTGGCATTCCTGTGGGATACATTTCTTGAAACTCATTTCTTGAACAAAATAAAATGCCTTTTTTTTTTTTAATCACCCTCCCCGTAAAAGTTGTGATACTTGTATTTTCTATGACAGTGTAACCAAATTATCTGATTCCCTGAACATTTTAAAAGACCTATTCACTTTTACTTGCTGTGCCTTTTGTCCATAATACAATGTAGACTCTGGTGTCTTAGTTTTATGGGAGAATTTTATTAACATCAATCTTTCTGGGGCGCCTGGGTGGCTCAGTTGTTAGCGTCTGCCTTCAGCTCAGGTCATGATCTCAGGGTCCTGGGATCAAGCTCCACATCGGGCTCCCTGCTCAGCGGGAAGCCTGCTTCTCCCTCTCCCACTCCCTTCGCTTGTGTTCACTCTCTCACTGTCAAATAAATGAGTAAAATCTTTATTAAAAAAATAAATAACATCAATCTTTCTGTCTGGCTTTAAGATAAAAATCGTTATAGAACCCTTCTGTCCTGAAGTCATTTGTCATTTTGTAATTTTCAGAAGACTTGCATCGTTGGTTTAACAGGAAGAAAACCCCCTTCAAAGAGTCATGTGGAGCACCCGAGCTTCAGGAAGGCAGCTCCGAAGAAGGCGTGCCGCTGAGCCAGTTCACCACCGTTGACCGTGAGGCCATTTGGGCCGAGGTGGAGAAGGAACCAGAGAAGTGTCCACCCGGAAGCGAGCTGAGCGAGGACGACCTTCCCTACTACATGGACCTTCCCGACAGGACGGCCTGCAGCGCCCTGGACAGCAGCGAGCACACGGAGTCTGCAGACACGAGCTCTGCCCACACGGACAGCGAGCACTCATCCTCCTTTTCCTCCCCTTCCCACGACCCGCAGGAGCTGAGCAACGAAGAGAGCTGCTGTGCGCCCATCCCCGTAGGCAGCAAGGTTTACCCCAAGCGCTCAGCCTTGCTGGCGGCCTTCCAGGCAGAAAGCTTCAAGTCCGGTGCCAAATTAAGCCTGGCACGCGTGGACTCGGACAAGACCCAGGCTTCGGAGTCATTCTCCAGTGACGAGGAGGCCGACTTGGAGCTCCAGGCCCTCAGCACATCCCGGCTGCTAAAGCAGCAGCGAGAGAGGCAAGAGACCATTGAGGCCTTGTTCAAGCACATTCTGCTCTACCTGCAGCCCTACGACTCCCGGCGAGTTCTTTATGCCTTCTCAGTGTTAGAGGCCGTGCTCAAAACCAACCCCAAGGAGTTTATCGAGGCAGTGTCCAGGACCAGCATGGACACCAGCTCCACCGCACACCTCAACCTCATCTCCAACCTCCTTGCTCGTCACCAGGAGGCCCTCGTTGGCCAGAGTTTCTATGGAAAACTCCAGACCCAGTCTCCCAGCGTGTGTCCCCACTCTCTGCTGATCGAGCTTCTCACCTACCTGTGCCTCAGTTTCCTGCGCAGCTATTACCCTTGTTACCTGAAGGTCTCCCACCGAGACGTCCTTGGCAACCGGGACGTGCAGGTCAAGAGCGTGGAGGTTTTGATTAGAATAATGATGCAGCTGGTCTCCGTGGCCAAGTCTGCCGAGGGGAAGAATGTGGAGTTCATTCACAGCTTGCTGCAGCGGTGCAAAGTTCAGGAGTTTGTCCTGCTTTCGCTGTCCGCGTCCATGTACACGAGCCAGAAGCGCTATGGACTGGCCACGGCCGAGCGAGGCCGGGCCCCGCAGGAGGAGAGCCTCTTTGAGGAGAGTCTCATCAACCTGGGCCAGGATCAAATCTGGAGTGAGCACCCCCTGCAGATCGAGTTGCTGAAGCTCCTGCAGGTGCTCATTGTCTTGGAACATCACCTGGGCCAGGTCCAAGAGGAGGCCGAAAATCAGCCGGAACTGTCCCGGGAGTGGCGGAGAGCCCTGAACTTCCAGCAGGCCATCAGCGCCATGCAGTACGTGCAGCCCCACCCTCTCACCTCCCAGGGGCTGCTGGTGGCTGCCGTGGTGCGGGGGCTGCAGCCGGCCTACGGCTATGGCATGCACCCGGCCTGGGTGAGCTTGGTCACGCATTCCTTACCGTACTTTGGAAAGTCCCTGGGCTGGACAGTGACCCCTTTCATTGTCCAGATTTGCAAAAATTTGGATGAGCTGGTCAAGCAGTATGAGAGCGAATCTGTAAAGTTCTCTATCAGGTATGGCAGACCGTTTGATACGTTATCACTATTTTGAGGCCAGTGTTTGTGATGAATGGCTGATGTGCCCTAGAAGCCAGGTGGAGGATAATTTCAGCCTAATCAGAAGCCAATTTAGCATTGTCAAGAGGGGGTAGCCAGGAATGAAATGCTCATGTCCATTTTTGATTCCACACAGACACCAAGGCTAGCTGAGCTTGCAGCCACTCGCCGTGACTTTTGCAAAACAGAAATAAAAACATGCATCACCTTCACAGAAATTCTAAAACATCTGAAAACATTTTTTCCAAAGTGACTGAATGAATGTAAAATAGCACAAAAAATGCCCCTCATTATTATAACAAGATTTCATTATAAGGGTCCCAGTTTATTGAAGATAGTGCTAGCTCTCTGGTGTCTGCATTTATAGGTAGGATTAAAAACCTGACAGCCTCATTCGTAAAAATTCTCAAAACGAGTTTCTCATTTCTTCACCAAAGCATAACCTCCAAGAGGGAAAACATTTCTCCGGATTACCCACTCACTCTTTTGGAAGGTCTGACAACCATTAGTCATTTTTGTCTTTTGGAACAACCCAACCAAAACAAAAAGGTAAGTTTGGGGGTTTTCTTTGGTTTTTTTTTTTTCCCCTGAGTTTGAGGCACATTTCATATATTGTTTTGTCTTGTTTGGATTATGACCAGTTCAGATAAGAAAAGTGCATGTGTAAGGAACATAGATACGTATGCAAATGTATGCTTGCAAATAATGCAAGTGCATATGCAAATATGCGTACACAAATATGCAAAAGTAATGCAAATGTAGTTTTGTTCTGGCCCTCCCCAGGGCACCTTCCCCTTGCCCATTGTTTTATCAGTAACCAAATGGGACAAAATGTTATCTTTTTTGCACATATTTTTTACAATGACTTCATGGTGTTTGTGAAATCTGCAGTCTGAAGACATTTTAGCTGTCAGTTGCTGTGCCCTATTGGGGATTAAATTTTCGAATGCGGCTAATGCTTTGGCTGAATGACTGAGTCTGATGTGGAGTCTCAGACTCCCGGGTGCCCAGAAAGAAACCACAGGAAGCATAGGGCCCAGACTCCCACCCCAGCCGCGCCCTGGCCTCGTGGGGAGGGAGCTGGTACGGCCAGGTCTCACGCTCATTTTCAATTTTAGACCACCGCTGTAGGCGATCCTACCAATTTGAAAAATGCCAAGAATGCCATTCTGGAAGAGTTGCCTCGAATTGTTAACACCATGGCCCTTCTCTGGAATGTTCTGAGAAGGGAGGAAACTCACAAGAGACCCGTCGATCTCCTTGGAGCCATGAAGGGATCCTCTTCCGTTTACTTTAAAACCACCAAAGTGAGAGAACTTCCTCTGTGGTTTTATTACTTGTTTTGTCTTGTATTATCCCACCAAAAATAAACATGTTCAGGAATATATTACAGATGATAGCACCACTACCACTCTGCCGTAACTCTTCCCTTTGCCGCGTTCTAGACCATACGACAAAAGATTTTAGACTTCTTGAACCCCTTGACGGCGCATCTGGGAGTTCAGCTGACAGCCGCGGTTGCAGCAGTGTGGAGCAGAAAGAAGGTTAAGCGTCTCAGTAAGATGAAGGTAGAGTCTAAAAATCAGAGTTATACTTGAACGTACTCTGCCAGAAATACCAGAGTCACATGTAATCAGAGGTGACATCGGAGGCCGGCACGGGAAACTGCTGAAGCGGTTTCAGTGTTTTAAAAGCTGCGCCTCCCACTAGGCTTGTTCGGGGGGGCTCTCCCCTGGCTTGTTCTCGGGTCTCTGTGAAATGAATACCTCGGTTAACCTTTTAAATGCAATATCTAATAGCACACATTCAAGAGCGTATATAGCGTGTATGTTCCACAGAAAAGAGAAACCACCGTGAACCTACCACCCAGCTCGAGGAACGGTACGTTATCCTCCCTGTGCGAACCCCTGTGGGTCCTTCCCTGGTTGTAGTACCATCTTATAGCTCTTCTTTAAACTATTATTTCAAAGACTTTATTTTTTTTTAAGAGCAGTCTTAGGTTCACAGCAAAATTGAGGGGAAAATACAGAGATTTCCCGAGTGCTCCCTGCCCCATATGTGCATGGCCTCCCCCACAATCAACACCACCGCCCCCCAGGTGGTGTGTTTGTTCCAATCATGAACCTACATTGACACATCAGGTTCCATAGGCTTTTTAATTTATAAAAATAATACCTACAAAAATGTAAAACCGATTTAAATCCTCCATTCCTATTCCCAAAGATAACTTCAGTTCACATCTCATCCGTTCTTTATCCACTGATTGGTCCATCACTAAGTCTTCCAGGGACTTGGTTTATTTCTGCAAAACCAACACTTTGTTCTCTCTGGACCCTCTAGGTTCCTATCTCATATCTCCCTCAGAGGGTCTTTCCCACCCCCTGGACACTATCTCAGTGCCCAACATAGGGTCCTGTTCCCTGAGGAGGCACAACAGGTTGGTGGTCCAGGCCACCGTGCTTATTAGCACTGCGGGGTCTTCCCTGGTGGTAAACCTGATCCTTCCAAGTGCATGCAGTCACGTTATGCAGACTTCCATCATCAAACATGGACTTCCCACACCAGGGCTTTCCTGCCAAGGCTAACTTATCAAGAACCTGGTTGATCTGGTTTTTCTTTTACTGTCCTCGTACTTCCAGGGCTGTCTTTGAGTGCCAGCCTGCTTCCTTCAAATTAAGTGCGTCTGTTTCTGAAATGCTTTCTGAGGGGCACCTGGCTGGCTCGGTCAGTAGACCATCTAACTCTTGATCTCAGAGGTGTGAGTTTGAGTCCCACGATGGGTATAGAGATTCCTTTTTTAAAAAATGAAATAACATGCTTTCTAAGCTTGAACATACCACTGTCACTGCCCCATCATCACCTGCCCCTGTTATTCCTAATGTGTGTCAGATGCTGATTACATTCCTGTGAATGAATGCTCAGCCTCCTCTTTGTCCCCACCAGTAGAGTCCTTTACCCAGTTTTTGTTTAAATATTTACTTTAAAAAGTTAAAGCTCATTCTATGAATCATGGAACACTTCATCTGAAACTAATGATGTAATGTATGGGGATTAACATAAGAATAAAAAAATATTTAATTAAAAAAAAAAAAAGTTAAAGCTCGTTCTCCCTGGGGCAGCTGTTATAGAATACTGCATCATCCTTATTTTTGTTTTCTCTCTGTGAGCTTTAAGGGAGCTATTTTTCCACTTGGCAGATTGTCCCAGCAGCAAGCGCATCCCAGCTGACCCTTGTTGACCTGATCTGTGCACTCAGCACCCTGCAGACGGACACGGTGCTGCACCTAGCAAAGGAGGTGGTGAAGAGGCCGCCGCAAATCCGAGGGGACGAGGTTGGAAGCCTGGGGATCTTGCAGATGAACGCGCGGCACCCTCCTGTCACCGTGTCTTATAAATTGTGTTTGGGGAAAGGAAGCGGGGGTCACAGGAGCAACTGGGATTTCCTGGGGTTGGGGAATGGAGCTGTTCTACTGGGCTTGGGGGAGACCCCGTGAGGTGTGCCTAATGGGCTTCAGTGCACCTGTTTGGAGGTGGGAGCCGTTGGAGGTTAGGGCCCATCTTTCATCATTACACCCCGGCTGCAGCGCGCCCTGCCTGGGAATGGGTTCTTTCTAATCACCTGCAGCCTAAAAGGCGTCCTAGAGAGGCAAAGCCAGATGCTACTTACAGGTGGCAAGGACCAGCTTTATTCAGTAGCTACCGTGTTGGGGGAGAGAGCTGACCTCAGTTCTGATTCGTGCGGTGGAGGTACTTGAGCCGGAAAATGGGGGAGTAGGAAGGGTGAACGAGCAGGGGTCCAGCAAAGTCAGGGAAGTAGAAAATTCCGAAAAAGCAGGTAGGGGGCTTGGTCGTTGTGAGCGGGCCGTCCAGGTTTGCTGACTGGTGCTTGGGGCGTGCAGGCCCCTATACCCCGGAGCCTGGGAGACAGGGCCCCTGTCTCTTTCAACGGTGATATTTCACAGGACGGCTCCCAGGTCCTTTACAAAGACATTTCCTATTGTAGGAGATGCATGTACATCTTAAAGGAAGGATTTATAATTATGCTTTTCTTAATAAATGCTCTGAAAAGGGGGGTTAGGAGCCTATCGGGTGTTGACTCAGCAAATGGCAAATTGTTCTGGCAGCCTTGAGCTCTCTTGGGCAGGCATTCTAAGGGGACGGGGGTTGTCATCTGAGGGCCCCCGCCTTGAGCTGCTTAGAAACCACGGTAGTGTTTGTTCAGGTTAGTGGGGGACGGAGTCACTTCTGCTGAAAGCCCTGGTCCCCACAGGCCTAGTCAAGAAGAGAGCTCTGACCAGAGTTCAAAGAGACGAGGAATGTCTTCATCAAAGGGCAAGTTAAAAGTTTGCATAATTTTTATGTAAAAGTGAAAAATACAGGTCAGAGGACAGGACTCCTTCGAGGCATTCTGAGAAGAAAGAGATTCGTCTGGCCGCGGTAGAAGTGGTGACCTGTGAAGGGTGCCAGAATGGACCTGTGAAGCTCCTAGACTTGTGCTTCTCCGTATCAGCACAGCCTCCAAGAGAGTCCTTGCTACCTCGAGGCCTTTGCCAGTCACGCGCAGTGCTTTTGAAACAGAGCAGACTTTGTGGTTTAACACTTTTTTTAATGCCCTTAGAGCTTTTTTTTTTTTAATAGATTTTATTCTTAAATAATCTCTACACCCAACATGGGGCTTGAACTCATGACCCCGAGATCGAGTCACACGCTCCACCGACTGAGCCAGCCTGGCACCCCAGAGCTTTTTGTGTTCACCAAAGCAGGGTGCCTCATTGAACGTGTAGGAGCTATTTTGTTCTTAATTTGATAGAAACCAGGGATTTATTTTGACTTTGAAATAATTGCCTTCTATCACGATTTAAAATTGTCAGGAAAAGGGGTGCCTGGGTGGCTCAGTTGGTTAAGTGGCTGCCATTGGCTCAGGTCATGATCTCAGGGTCCTGGGATCGAGCCCCATGTTGGGCTCTCCACTCAGCAGGGAGTCTGCTTCTCCCTCTCTGTCTGCCCCTCCTCCGCACTCACATGCACCGCACGCATGCTCTCTCTCTCAAATAAATAAAATCTTTTAAAAAATAAACACCATACAATACTAACATAATAAAAAAATAAGGAAATAAATAAAAATTTAAAAAAATAAAATTGTTAGGAAAAATATAAGAATAATTCCCTAAATGAAAATGGACAAAGTAATTATTTAAAAATAGAGTTTTACTCAAATAGGTATTTGTATACCACTGTTTATAGAATTACTCACAATAGTAAAAAGGTAGAAACAACCCAAATATCCAATGATGGATGATTGGATAAACAAAATCAGGTCTATCCATTCAATGGAATATCATTCAGCCTTAAAAAGGAAGTTAATTCTGAGACCTGCTGTAACAGTGGGTGAACCTTGAGGCCATGCCAAGTGAGGCCAGTCACAGAAGGACAAAAACGTGATTCCACTTACACGCGGTCTCTGGAGCAGCCCGTTCGTTGCATACGTACATTCTACAGAAGGTCGTGTCGTGGTTGCTAGAGGCAGGAGGAGAGGGGACAGGAGTTACTGTCTAACCGGGACAGAGTTTCCGTTTGGGAAGATGAAAAAGTCTCGAGATGGATGGTGGTGACAGTTGCACGACAATGTGAATGCTAATGCCACCGAACTGGACACTTAAAACTGGTTAAAATGGCAAATTTTAGGTATAGTTTAAAGATTTCTTTATTTTGGAGAGAGTGAGTGGGATAGGGCACAGAGGGAGAGGGAGAGAGAGAATCCTCAAGCAGACTCCCTCCCGACGCAGGGCTCGATCCCAGGTCCCTGAGATCATGACCTGAGCCGAAATCAAGAGTCGGATGCTCAACCAGCTGAGCCCCTTTTGTATATTTTACCATGATAAAAAGTTTTATAACAAGTAAAAGGAATACAGCTTTGGATATTAAGGTCATCACACTGAGGATGGCAAATAAAAGCTGAACCTTGGAATCAGCGATCTTTTCAGCCGTGTCTCACCCTGTAAGTGAGAAAACTGACCAAGAATTTCTTTAGCCGTTTTTATAGCTCTGCCTGTCTTAGAGTAGAACTCTGCATTTGGATGCCTCCTCCAAAAGGGCCCCTTGTGCACAGCACCAGGGAGCCTCTCCAGAAATGTCCATGCCAAGAAGGCCTGTCACGGCTTCCAGTCAGTTGTGCTCAGGGCCTTGGTCCCGTTCTTCATTCCAAAATCGAAAATCAACTATGTGCTTCAGTGGTTGGTAAGGAATCCTAAGTAGTAAAACTGTTTCTGCCCTCAGTCAGCTGTATCCTAGTTAGGAAAAGAGGATAGGCCAGCCTAAAAATTAACACCATGCAGCCAGATTATGGAACCGTTGAAGCACAAGGAATCGGATGCCAAATGCACGTGGGCGACATCCGTGGCCTTTGTCGGGCCTCCCGCAAATGCCGGGTAGTCTTGTTGCCTTTCACTCTTATACGTAAATATTAAAATAATCAACCTCGAAGAGGGGACCAGGGATGGAGGGGCCATCAGATTCACGGTGATTTTGCATTTATAACCCTGAGCAAGTCTCAAGTGTCAGGAGACCCTGCGAGCTGGTGGTCACTTCCTACCAGCGGCGTTATGGCTGTAGGACCGGGGTGGGCTGTCCTCCAGGAGGAGCCTCTGAGACACCTTCTAAGTACACGGCAGGCGCTCACAGTTTTGTTCCTTTATGTTACTTCAATTCCTACAAACACCTGCAACTCCTGGGCTAAAAACAGAACAAAACACTAGATCTCATCTGACTGGCTGGTTGGTTGTTTTATTTAAATTCAGTTAGCGTGGCTGGCTGGTTTTTGGCTGTTCGAATAACAGAATTACATTTTGTGATTAGTAAGTAGCTCAACTTCTATAACCTCTACAGATAACTTTTTATAAGCATGGAGGGGAAAAAATTTATCTTCAAAACCAGTTTCTAAGTAGTTGCAGCCACTTGGGATTTAGGTAAGTTGTCTGGCCTGAGTTTGAGGAAATTCCTTGAGCTAAGAATTAGAACTTTTTTATCGTCTCTTTCCTGTAGCTAGTTGCACGCACTCATGAGGGTCAACATTGGCCACCACCTTTTTTGTTTAGGAGTTATTATACCAAATTTTCCCTGAATACTTGTTAAAAGCCTGGCGTGGACTCGCCCTGGAAGTCTGCTAAGAAGGTCAGTAATGTTTCGGGACCTCATAGTGTAGGTTTGTTTTGTTATACCTGGGGGATGCGTTCACGTGTGTTATTGTATTTGAAAGACTCTGGCTAAAAACCTTTGCTTTGTGGGGATATAGACTCTGTTTCATTTTGTGTTGTAATTCTTTTTTCTAACCGTATTTCCTACCAACTTTGAGTCATTGGTTTCACTTTTATTTTTAGAAAGCGCCCCTTGTGGATATCCCTGTGTTGCAGTTTTGCTATGCTTTCGTCCAAAGGTAACACAACCCTTCCCAAACATGTCTCAATTATAGATGCTATTGCAGCAATTCTAAATGTAACCCTGGTCGTACTTGTTGACGACTGGAGAGCCTTAGTTCAGAAAATATCTTGACGGTGTCTTAGCTTCCTCCTGAGCTGTGAGAATGCCCTGATGATCTTTTCCTTCTGCAGAGATCTAATCTGACTTTATAAAAGCCGGGTGCTGTTGGTTGAACACTTTATGTTCAGTGTTAAACGTGTTAAAGACCTCTTTTAGAAAAAGGAGAAATGATCGTTTTGGGTGCTGTCCTCAGTGCTTTCCCGTGGCTTCTGCATGGGTGTCTCGAGCTTACTGGCGCTTTTCAGCAGCCTCTGCTGCAGGAGGCAGTGAGGCGGATCCCCCACACGGTTCTCCACGGGTGGGAAGGAAAGCTTCCTGGACTGCTCAGGTCTTACACGGGCACATCGGGTGCAGCTCACAGCCCCTCCACTGTGTGGGGCCATCTCTGTTGCAGTAACGAGGGGGAAGTGGGGGGTAGAGCCCCCTTCTCAAGGAAGCCTCCAGATCCTCACGTGTGTGGCAGGAGTTACGCAATCGGGCAGTCTGACAACCAGACCCAAGCTCCTTGGTTAACACAGTTCCCATTCCATGGTTCTTCCAGCTCCCCACACCCTGAGGTTGCAGGAGGCTAGATCGAGAGGGTCAGCATCCCAGGAGTCCCTGGGTCTGGGGTGCAGTTCAGACCAGCTGTTGAGGCCTCATGCCCAAGTATCGTTCAGTTCCTTCTTCCGGGAGTTAAAGAGGACCCGGTCATGTCTTTCCTGGTGATAGCTACTGTGCATCGTCATGCTAGCAAGTGTCTGTCACAGCGGCCTGAGTGACCCGTGGGCTGCCAGAGCAGCTGCAGGTTAGGTGTTTACCTTCCTCCTCTTACAGAAGAAGCACTGCCGAGGTCACTCCGGAGGCGGTACGTCAGGCACCAGGACTTGAACCCGGGGCCCTCGGGCTGTGGCTGAGCTGCAGCGTGTTGTGCTGCGCAGGCCTCTCTGTGAGAGCCACTGAAGATCAGCCTCCTGTGGGTGACCTTGTGACCCGAGGGCCGACTCCGTTACCAACAAAACCGGGGAGGCCGGATCCTAGAGCTAGATGGGCCCAAGGGATCAGACGGGCCTCCGGTTCAAGGCCTTTATTTGACAGACAGGAAACCAGGAGCATCTGACCTGTCAGCAGCAGGATTTCTGGTCTCCAGACTCCAGGTTCTTGCCAGAGTACAAAAATTTCGTTTGTGTGTATTTTAATTTAAAAAAGAACAAACAGGTCAGTCAGATACACCATCTTCCCTCTGCTTTCCAACCGCCCAGACCTAAAATGTGCTTGTAAGACGTGTTTTGACTTGTTCACAGTTGGGTGTTTTCCCCTGTTTTTTAAAAACAGACTCCCAGTAACAGCCTTGCAAGAGAACTTTCCTTCGTTGTTGGGCGTGTTAAAGGAATCCGTACAGTTGAATCTGGCTCCCCCCGGATACTTTCTGCTCCTCAGGTATTGTGACCCAGCATTCACGTTACCCTGTTTTTCTGCTGGAACATCCCTTGTTTCTGCAGCATTCTTAGTCTAAAGCTGATTGTCTCTCAACAGCATGCTGAACGACTTTGTGACGAGAACTCCCAACCTGGAAAGCAAGAAGGACCAGAAAGACCTGCAGGTCTGTGTGTGAAAAGTTCAGCAGATGTTACCGTTTCCAGGAGTGGTTGTCCGCCTTTAGAGGACATGCCTGTGGTTCAGCAACACTGGGCAGAATCGTTCCTTAGATTTGCATGTGTTCTCACAGCTGACTTCCTCTGTTACGGTCTTTAGAGGGCTCCATAGACCCGGGCCAGAGTCTCCTGCCAAAGTTCTTGTGTCAGACTTGAGCAGTCTGCTGTGGGTTGACAGGATGCCCCCACTCCTCACCGCACACAGATGCAGCTGGAGCCGCCGCCTCAGCAGCGTTAGGTTAATAACTCTGTCCATGTGAATTTCTTCCCTGGAAACCTTTCTTTTCCCCCCTGATTAAAGCAGTATATACTCGTAGGAAACCTCAAAAATCCTGAAAAATAAAAGTGAAACTCACCCTAGGAGAAGGGAGATCTTAGAGTAGAAAGCCAACAAATAAATAGAATAAATAGAATGATGGAGTTAGGAAATCACTATTTTGCAACCATGAGAATCATTGATTTGGGGGCTTTTGGAGCCAAGGCTTCAACTTAAATGGGACGTGTATCAGTTTTACGGCCCTGGCGATACTTCTTCGAATCATTACGATCCCTGGCATTTGTGAACGGTCTGTCCAGTTCCCACTGCTGAACCACTGGAGCACCGTCTAGAGCACAGTCAAGCATAATTAGGAAACTCGGGACTCCTTTGGCCTCCACTTGAGACGGAAGCGTCATTAAAGCCCAGACACTGTGCGACTGGCACGTGGATGGCATTCCCAAACTCCCCTCTCGAGGCCCCGCTTTGTGGCCCTTTGCCTACAGCACGCCCCTCCCTTTGGTCCATTCTGGGGTAGCTTTGGCCACGGGCATTACCGCAGCCGATACGGCTGGTGCACCTCGCCCCTGCTCTTTGTGGCTGCTTCTGTCCCACAGTGCCCAGCATCCCAACGCCAACTCCTTGTCCCTGCTTCGAGACGGGGCCTGCCCTTCTTCCCCATCACTCTCCGCATGAGAAGTGGGACCTCCTCTGAGCTCTCGGTCCCGTTTCCTGCTCTTCCCTGCCACCGTCAGCCACACCACACCCCTGCGCCGGCTCAGGGCAAGGTAGTTCCCTCAGGTGCACCCCTACTGGCCACAGGCAGGTGGGCGTGCTCTTGCCTTATGCCTAAACACAGCTTAGAGTCAAAGTCAGGGTCGAATCTCAGATGGCCGGGACCTGCAGCCAGGCTCCGCTGGTGAGACTTGGTGATGCTGGCTTGAGAAAGTGGCTCAGCATTTCTCTCCCTATCACAGCCACGTGACCTGATTCTCTACTGATCATACTCCAATACGGGAGCCGTTAGTCACATGTGGCTGTTGGGCACGGGGAATGTGGCCTGTCCGAATTGAATGTGCTGTAGTGTAAAACATGCGTCAGATCTCAAAGGCCTAGTGCAAAAAAAAAAAAGTGTGAAATCTCATTAATTTTTACATTGATTGCATGTTGATCGTATTTTGGATATATGAGGTTAAACATTATGAACTTGTTTCATCTGATCTTTTAATGTGGTTCCTGGGAAACCTCCTATCACCTGTGTGGTTCTAGTTGCAGCCTATGTTGTATTTCTTCTGGTTGGTGCTGTTGTAGGCATTTTAGATTCTTTTCCTGAGCTAACTGCCTCTCCTCTTTCTCTTCATTACTCTCAGGAAGTCACTCAAAAAATCCTGGAAGCTGTAGGGAACATTGCTGGCTCTTCCTTGGAACAAACCAGCTGGCTAAGCAGAAACCTGGAAGTGAAGGCCCAGCCTCAAATCTCTCTAGAAGAATCTGATGCTGAGGAAGATTTGTGTGGTAGGTACAGAGAGGGTCAGAAGATAATGCCTGCTGCCCACTACTGTGAGGGGGTCTGGTTTTTCCTTAAAAGTAAACTCTCTGGGGGCACCTCGGTGGCTCAGGCAGTTAAGCATCTGGCCCTTGATCTCAGTTCAGGTCTTAACCTCAGGGTTGTAAGTTCAAGCCCCACACTGGGCTCTGTGCTGGGCGTGGAGCCTACTTAAAAAAAAAAAAGCAGACAGTCTGTTGTTACTGTTTACAACATCATTTATGTGTAATAAACAATAGGATTCCACTGATAGGGCCCCGAGTGACGTATGCTACTGTGGAAGCCCTCACTGAGCCTAGATCAGAATCCAAGAAAGTAGCTTCCCAAGATAACTTGCACAGATTAGGTAAAAGAAATCTGTGGGGTATAAAAAATATGGAAGTGTGTTTTTCTTTTTGTGGAACTGTGGAAAGAAAGTTTAGTAAACCAACAAACTGTTGTCAGGCCATTAGATTGTGTCTTTTCTTTATGACTAACACACCTTTGCCTCTCAGTGATCCTTGTGTCTCATCACTGTCTGAGATGTGAAGATTTTCTAGTGGAGGTCACATGGGCGGGGCACACCCTGGCCTTATTATTAGTTGTAGCTTCCTAGGAAAGCAGTCAGGAGACTCTCAGAGGAGACTCCTCTGTTTACTCGGACCATCAATCAACCAGTACTCTTGATTATTAGACCTACTGCAGGGAGAGACAGACTTGGCAGGGTCATAGCAACGTCTCATCGGGGAAGTTCGGGGAGGACATTTGTAGGGTTGCAGGGCCTTGACCGAGTTGTTTGTGGCAGATCTTTTAGGGTGGGGAACTGATTGGGATTAGGCAGAGTTTGGGATTGGTGGGGGCAGCACAACGCGAGAGTCCCAGAGTGAATCTTGACAAGCACGCTGCCTGTTTCGATACGTCGTAAGCTGTTTTAGTTGTTCTTTCAGGATTAAGTGTATCTTGGAGCAAGTAACTGTTTTTGCTAGTTCTCAGTATTATTTAACAGAGGGACAGGAACGTATGTCCAGTCCCAGTATTGGTTATACCAAACGAGTAAACAGGTTTGCTCTCAGTTTTATTAACACAAGGGCAAAAAATTACATTTAGGTTCTTAATACGAACTACATAGTACAGTACCCGCCACAAAGGAAATGTTCAAAAACCGTCCTGTAATATTTTACTGCCTCTTTCATTGTCACTAGCAATAGTTACAGCAGCAGCTCAAAGCTAAGTCTGTGAACTTTAATCTACCGTAGAAGGGTCAAGAAGTCAGGGCTCTTTTCTCTCACAAGTAGCAGAAATAATAGAAACAACAGAACAAAACACTTCAGCGCCCGTGGGTGAAAAGCCCTGGCATTGGCGTCTGGTTCTAGGCATAGCAGGAATCAGGCACTCAGCTGAGGCGAACCAAGGCTTGCGCGGAGATTCTGGGTGGTTGGTCTTGGGCCACACAGCTGACCCGGAGGAGAAGAGGGAAGGGCTGATGCATGGGAGCCACGAGAAATGGGTGCCCACCGGAAGGGGGCTTCTCTTCCCAGGAGGAGGAAGGATGGCGTACTCGACAAACTGCAGTCCCACTGGCCGCTGCTTCGGCCATACTGGTTTCATAACCTGTTTTGTGGTTTGTGTAACAAAAATAATTATACTTCATTGTGTAACGAAGATGCTAGATCTAGTGTGCTCTCAGTTGCTAATGTAAAGCAACCATGAGCCTTTCTCAGGCTGTGGCTCTGGTTATAGCTGTGGTTCAGGGAGGGAGCGCTTGCATCTCCTGGGCTAATTTGCCCTCAGTCATTTCTGTCCCACGAACTGAGGTACGGATCGGACTGCTTCTCCACCAGAGCGGCTGTGCCGACCGTGTTCGGTCCATGGTCACTGGGCCTGGCTTTTGTGCAATGATTCCATTTAACCTCAAGATAATACTCTGGGAAAATTACCTCATTTTTGTTTAAAGAAATCAGAGAATTCCAAAGCTGGAGGTGATTTTTGGGCTTCTCTATAAAACTTAATTAGAGAGTACCAAAAACCCTGAGTGGTTAGATCATGACTATATTTTACTTGACTTGAACAAATTACGTATACATATCAGCCATAGAAAGCATGAAACAAAATGAGGCTTCCAGTAACGTATTTGTCCCCATTTAAAGTTGGTGTGCATGCACCGGACATGCAGGTTCTCACTCGGAGTCCATGTGTGGTGTGTGCCGCGTGCGGGCCCTACAGCTTCAGACACGGGCAGCATGGAAGAGGATAAGCAAGAAGTACATTAACAAAGGGATCTTTCAACTCTTTTGAAAATCTGAAGTTATTTCAAAATGAAAGCTTTTCAAAGATCGAAAAAGGAAGTAAATGACCCTGAGAATTTCAAGTGGTTCTTAGTGTAAGGACTACTAGTAAGAGTCCAATTACAGGGAGCGGCTGGGAGCAGGGAGATGTTGCAGAGTGTGTCCCCAAGGAGGTGACAGTTGCGCTGAGAAGTCAGAAGTCGGGGCAGCTGTGCAAAGACCTGGAGGGCGCTGCCCAGAGGGATGGCAAGTCCTCGAGGTGGGTGTGGGTCAGAACCAGGAGACCAGCCTGGCTGGAGTTGAGGGTTGCTGGGCTTGAGGGGAGCCTGGTCAGGAGCTTAGATTTCTTCCCACTCGCTGTGGAAGCCATTAAAGTGTTTGGGGCAGTGACAGGCTCTTCCTTGGTCTTTAGAAAACATCAGTTTGGCTGCTATGAGCAGTAAGGGCTGTATCAAGTGAGAGCAGAAAAGGGAAGTCCAATTAACAGGATTTCGCAGTGGTGTGGGCTTGGAGGCAGGGGTGATGGAAAGGTGGACTGATTTATATGCAGAGTCAGCAGAATTTGCTGATGGGCTGCATGTGGTGGTTAACAAAAAAGACAATCAAGGATGACTTTGGTTTTTCGCTTATGCAATTTATTGAGGTGGAGAAGACCAAAATAAGAACATTATATAACAGAAAATTGAGCTTGGTTTTGCAAGTATTACATTTGAGATGTCAGAAAAAAAGAGGAGCCAGAAAAGACACTTAAGTGGTCACTGGGGTAAGAGAAAAACTAGGAGCACAGAGTCATGCAACAGGAGAAGAAGGTGCTTCCAGAAGGAGGGAGGGGTAACACAATGGAAGGCTGTTGAGAAACAGAGGAAGGTCGGACAGAGATCCACTGGGCTTGACAACATGGAAGCCACGGGGGTGGGAACACTGGAGCGGGTAGAAAGGAGGAGGAGGAGGCCGTGAATGCAGAGAATCCTTGAAGCTCACTGGTCAGTAGGACAGAAATCAAGTAGAACTAAAGACCAAAGAATACCCCTTGTTTGCTTTGTTTTTGAATTGGAATATTCCAGAGCATATTTATATGGTGACAGATCTGTGCAGCAGAGGAAGAAATAAAGAGAGAAAGGATAGAAAGTGAAGCCCTTGATGGCCATGGGGCCAAGCTTGATGTCATAAATAGAATTACTGTTCTTCCATAGGAGCCAGGAACATGTCTATCAAGACAGGAGATAAGGCAGAGAATGTATATATATATATATATATACATGTTCTAGATTCATAGCACATAGGAGCCAAACTGAGGGAGTTCCTGTTTGTTTCCATTAATTTTCTCAGTGAAATAGGAGGTGCGTTATCAGCTGAGAAGGGAGGAATGTTGAGGTTATCGAGGGAAGGTCTGCAAGAATGACGTTGCAGAGTAGGAAAGCCAGCATACTGCCAGGGTACAGACGGTAGGACTATCTGGTAGCATCAGGTCCTTTTTGAGATCCATGGTCAGGAAGGAAAGTGAGATCTATTTCATCGTTGTTTGGTTTTCTCCAGAGCATTTAGCTACACAGAACCACACCGGCTGATCTGTGGGTTTAGCCAGCTTTGCATTTTTCCAGATGAGTGCCTCAGAGGGAGAGAGCAGCAAAACAGCCCAGGATGTTTGCCAGTAGATGGGAGACCACGGGTATAGGTGGGGAGGCGAGAAGGGCAGACCTGGAGGAGTTGACGGGTGGTCAGGGTGGCAGGCGAAAGGGTTTGGTGGTCTGTGCAAGCGTTCGGGAAAGGTAAGATGTGGTCAGAGAGGGAGACTGGAAACGGAGATTTGGGAAATTGGTGAAGCCAAGGGTGTGATGGTGACAGTGGGTGACCGAGCTGGGACGGAGTAACAGATTGTTGGAAGAGAGAAGTTTAGGGGGTCAGAGGCCCAGAGGGTAGGATCATCATCCAAGGGGATGTGGACATTCTGAGAACAATGCTGAGAAGAGAGATCGGGAGGACAGTGAGTCAGTGCTAATTTATTTGATCACAATGCCGATTCTTCCTGAAGTTGAACATGTTGACAGAGAGGAGCCCCTAAGGTATACTTACATACATCCTCAGTATGCAAGGCTGGGGTGCATCACGCACGTCCATGTGATGTTTCAGGGGCATAAATGGTGGCCCATCCGCCATGATTAAAGCAGAAATGCCTCTTTCTGTCAGCAGATACCACCGTCGCTGCTTCAGCAATGGTGTCCGCGTCTGCCCCGTCGGTGTACAGCGTGCAGGCCCTGTCCCTCCTGGCAGAGGTCAGTGCATACCTGACTTGTCCTCCCTCGATGGCATGATGGCCAGCCCGGAGCTTCGTGCAGGCACTCCGTTCTCGGGCCAGTGAGTGCGGGCCGCCCCTCCTGGCTGGCCTGCAGAGCCGCGCTCGGCCTCAAGCTGCCCCTGGGACTTGTCTTGTTAGGTTGTGTGCCCCTCGAGGATGAGTTCTTACTGTCACCGGCTTTAGAAGGTTTCTGTTTTCCTTGTGATCCCGCTCTGATAGGTCCTGGCATCTCTCCTGGACATGGTTTATCGAAGTGACGAGAAGGAGAAAGCAGTGCCCTTGATCTCCCGCTTGCTTTATTACGTGTTTCCTTACTTACGCAATCACAGGTAATGCCGTCTCCTCCCTGGTGTCCCGCCGGTAGGGAGCAAAATCGGTTATGGGAAATGTACCAAGTGGCTTTCTTTGCACAGTCTTTGACATTGACCCTTTTCCCTCCCCACCCCTGTTCAGTGCCTACAACGCTCCCAGCTTCCGGGCCGGCGCTCAGCTGCTGAGCTCTCTGAGTGGCTACGCCTATACGAAGCGAGCCTGGAAGAAAGAAGTCTTGGAGTTATTCTTGGACCCTGCTTTCTTTCAGATGGACACTTGCTGTGCACAGTAAGAAACGCTGTTCTGACAAAGGGCTGCTGCAAATCCTCAAGTGGAAAAAGTGTTTCGGTTGACATAATTCTCATACTTGAAAGGGGAGCAGTTAGCCTCAACCCAGATCCCAGGACGTCCCTGTCACAAGCCCTCGTGTTAACTGTGTTCATGGCAGAGGGGGTGGGTGTTCTAAAAATATAGAGGTGCATTTTTTATCAAAAGGATTTCAGTTACGAGAGCATATAATCCCCAGAGCGCACAATCCAGGGTTCCAGTGTCCCCTGGCCTAGTGCTGCTCCAGCTTGGAGTCACAGATACTCCAACTCAGATGACAGAGCCCGCTGGTGACACTGTGTTGTCCTTACCCCACGTCTCAGCTCACGCTTCACAAGTTCTCACTGAGACCGTGCAGCCGGGCCAGGCCCTGCTGCTGAGGGACAGATGTGAGGTGAACTCCCTGCGCCCTTTCCTGGGAGGTCAACAAAACCACTATGTTGGCTCTCCCCCTGTCATGGCTGACGTCTTTATCAATGGCATGGATGGGGACTGGCAATTGGTTGAAGTTTGCCCTGCTACCCCCCGAGTCCTGGGGCTTTCACCTTGAAGTCCTATTGCTCTTCTGGGGAGCCCACTTGAAAATTAGTCGTATCTGATGTCGCTACTCCCACTTCTTTCCATCAGCACAAGCGTATGAACAGCCTCCTGTGTGAACACAGGGCAACTCTTGAAAAAAACATTTTTCTTTTACTGTAAGCTGGGAATTATTCATTCTTTCATTTGTTATTCATCACCTGTGTTGTTAAGTTTATAAATGAAAAGCTTTTGCTCAGCTTTCCCTTGTATTAGAACCTGTTCATTTCCCTAACTTCTTTTCAGAAAACAGGTTTTAATAGATCTCAAAGGGGCTTGTTCTTTTCTTGATGCCTCTATTCAGACTGTCATCCTTTACGTATTTAATTAATTTTGCCTTCTTTTAATATCCAGTTGGAAGTCCATTATTGACCATCTTCTGACTCACGAGAAAACAATGTTTAAAGATTTAATGAGTAAGTTGTATATTACTTGCACATAAACCACACTTTTAAAGGACTGATCCCATCATAATCAGCTTTTACCACATAGCTCAAAACTCCCCTCGGATCTTTAATGATGCCATCTAAGCTGCAAACTGTAACATAATGTGCATAATGTGTCAGGACTCACGAATGAGCCTCCCGGTTCCAGTCTATTGGCCAGAAGGCCCGACAACCTTTCCTACACCTTTACAGTGGGGGAATATTTTTGAAAGTAATGATAGGTTTACCACGATTTATTAGGAGTATTTGTCTGTCCCTCATATCCTCTTCTAGTGCCCTGTTGTTTAATGTCATTAAAGAAGTATTTGTATTTACAAATAAATATGTGAATAATAACCACAAGACCATAATTACTTAGTCAGGACCATGACTTTCACCAGGAAGGATAGAAATTTACATGATTATGAATGTCCTGTCACTTACCTCTGATTGCGGTTTTCCCGCTAAATGGAACTTACTGCTGTATTTATTCTAGACATGCAGAGCAGTTCTTTAAAACTGTTCTCGAGTTTTGAGCAGAAAGCCATGCTGCTAAAGCGCCAGGCTTTTGCTGTCTTCAGCGGAGAACTCGATCAATACCACCTTTACCTTCCTCTGATACAAGGTAAGAAGGCCACCCCACCCTCACCCCCAGCCCTGCCCCCTCATGGGTGGACCCCCGGCTGGCTGAGACGGGCCGGCCGCCAGAGTGGCCCACAGCACGTACTGGCCGGACGGAGGAGCGTCGAAATGAGTACTTGTAGAAGAACTCCGGAAATTTACCTTTGGATCTGAAACTTTATTTTAAAAGTCAATGATTGTAGGGG